CACATTACGTCTCAATGGATATGTGCTTCAGAACTCTTATCAGGAAGGTAAAACTTTTAGTGTTGTCCATGTAAGCGATGGCTTTATCAATTACCAATATTTGCAGTTATATCTGCATACATCATATTGCATTTTCAAGTTCAGAAAGAGAACGATTGCTTTCATCTTTCTTTCTTTTCAGAAATTTTTTCCTTCATCTAATCGAAGAAGAAAATAAGCTTAATCTTTCTTTCTTACACGCTCCGCTTCTGTGCGACGGTGTGAGTTTTGTTTTGGTAGCATGAAGAACACAGTTTTGTGTCGATATTAGTCATTGAAAAAAGTCTGATTGTAAGCTGTGCCTCAATTGATCTGGAAAGAAAAATTATTTTACTTTGTTTTAGAAATTGTATTCATCTGATGAGAAAAAAGAACGATGCATTTTCATCGACTTCGTCTATTCAAACCTGTATGTATTGGTATTTTATCTATCATTATTATTAATCAAATCTGTTTTCTACTCTGGTATTTGAATGATGGATCTTTTTGGAGAGAAAAGCAAACAAGAGAGCATTTCTTCACAGCATTGAATTCTGAATTTGAACAAATATCGTCTAAACTTGAACCATTCACTATAGCTCTACCAAATTTTCCCGATGATGAAGCACGTGATTGGTTTTTGAATACGACTTATTATAAAAAATATTCAAAACAATGTCCGAATGATGCATGTCAAACAAATGGATTTTTCTACAATGATTCAAAGGAGCATCGCAATGTTCATGTTGCTCTAATTACAAATGGTGTTTATTTCGATGATGCTTGTGGTTATAATTATGATGAAACAGCCCTTCGACGAATATTTATATCTACAAGTCATGTCTCTGTTGTTTATAATCAAGCTATTATTTATACAGTACCAGATGGTTGGAGTTTTCAACATTTTCTCGATGGTATAGGACCGAAACTGTCTCATTCTCGAACTTATTTAGATAAATATCCAGATGCAAAAGTACTCATTTTGCAAGGTCCTCGATTCGATCGATCTGTAAAAGAGATTTGGTCTTTGCTTGGTGAGTTTTGTCTTATCGTAGAGAAGACCATCATTGAATTGAAAGATTTCAGGGGTGAACGAGTCAAATAGAATTATTCATTATCATCGTAATATGAAAGTTGGTGCTCATATCTTGATAAATCCATGTCGAACACCAGGTATTCATCCTCGCCTCTGGCAAGATGCTCGTTCCATGTATTGGTCTTTAGTGGATCTCTCTAAATCGAAATCCATTTTATCTAAATCTAATCTTATTTATGCTCAAAGAACAGCTACGAATGCTAAGAATCGAGGTCGTCTCATTCTGAATGAAAAACCCATTGTTGAACTTCTTCGTACGTACGCCTCGAAGCACTCGTTGACTTATGTACAATATGATCATTCGAAACATGATGATCACATTGAAAAGCAAGTCGAATTATTTTACAATGCTCGTATCATCTTCGGTGTACATGGTGGAGCTCTATCAAATATGAATTTTGCTCCATCGAGCACGATTATTATTGAATTAATGCCTTATCAATCTGATAAAAGTTCATTACCGATTGTTTGTTCGATGTTTGATCCAAATGAATTCAGATCATGTGGTGGTTATAGTTACTATATACAATCTCAACTGCTCAATCAATCCTATTGGATTTTGCCAACTGTTGTTGATATGCACGGCAATCTGAATGTCAATTTGGCTCGACTTCAACGACTCTTTGATTTGTTAATTTGAACTAGCATGAATACTTTGCTCAAATCATTGGTGTACAGATGAAAGGTCATGAACTATGCTTACAATTGATCTTGTTACTGTTTCAAAGCTTTCACAAATAATCATAGGATAGTCCGCAAACAGGTTTTCATTCTTGCTGTCTTTCTATCTTATTAGCAGCAGATCGATCATCGCTATCACAACAACAGCATTCAATAAATGTCGAAAAATCGAGGCCTTCGTCAATCATCAATGCCTGCTCTATTATGGTTGATTTATCCAGAACAATGTTGTTTGAGAATTAATTGACAACCTTGAATCAAAGAGAATCGTTCCTCTCATAACAGAGTGGGTGTGAGGTGTTGATAAGAATTCAGTTCGATTAGGCGTCAATCAAACAGTGAAGGAGTCAGAGAAAATAAAGACTGAAGCTCATACAGGGGCATTTGTGCCCTATTAATGGTCAGTGAGACTTATTCGAATGGTTCAAGAATAATAGTTTTCTCATTCTGAAGCCAGTTCAAAGGACCCATGGTCAGTCTATGAAGATCTAATAATTGTTCAAGTATATCATAGATCTGTGTATTGTCACTTTCCGTAATGCTCTATATTTAGATCATAGCACCTTACCAATTCCATTCGCATCTATGGACAAGTTTAGCCCAAGTGAACTAGTCTTTGCGATAACAGATGAAAGAAGAGTTGATGTGTCACTGTTAGAGAGCTTATTAGAATTTCAGATAATACTATGTCGAAATCATTGTTAGACGCATTTGAACGAGTTGACGAACAAAGCCGAGTACATGGCTGAATATCAACACGTGATCGAAGCAACGAGATTGTACTATGCTTTTTGAAATTCCAAAGAGAAATACAAGCAATAGTTTCGAGTCAGATGAGATAACACAGGACTCGAGTTTTTAGTTCAGTTTTGACGCTGAATAACAACTTATATCGATTGTAGTCACTGGAACGGTCGAAAGTTTTCTACAAACTTTGAGTAGTAAGACAAATGGAGCCCATGAATTGAGATAATCGAAAGTGTAATGGATAGTCTCAATCAGTAATGCAAGAGAAGATAGTGTACAGGTGTTAGATGATTTTCTTATATTTTTTATCTACAAAAATGCAATTCAAAGGAACATGTAGATTCGTGGTAATTGTACTTGTAATTATGCAATTTTGTTCGTTGGAACGAAAATGACGTTGAGTCGTATGTAACTAATTCATTCAAGTAATACAATTGATAAAAGAAATGTAACAGAATGACATCAACAATATATAGATAACAATGAGACTATTAAGACGTGTCGACGTGAGTATTTATCGAATTCATACACTCTAACATCTAATTGTTAAACCGAAGTTTGATTGTAGTCGAAATCGTATCAAAAGCAAGCTGCTTTTGTATATGAATATGTAGTTTTGAAATGATTTATCGTATATTTATCATTTCATTCTCTAATTAAATGAAGTCCTTAGAATATTTTCACCATGTTTTTGTTCCTTCTCAACAATGTCATATAAATTCATTTCGTTGTTGAATGTACGTCTACAATTGACATGAATAGCTTCAATATAGGCTGAAGTATGTCTATTCTTGGTGCAAAATGACTCTATCAAAATCTATTTCAATACAGTGCTCTCCGAAATATCGATAACATGAAGAAGTAAAGGAATATAGGTCATGAAAATCTACTTTCATATTCGTTACGAGTCTTCTAAAGGCTATATAAATGGCTCATCTGACAGAAGGTAACCTATGTAAAAATTTGTATAAGAAATCAGGTGAAAATAGATTTCTGTAGCAACAAAGTTGGATTTGAGTGTTTCTCTTTTTTGATCCCACTGACACCCACGTCCGAAAAGATCCGAATCGAATTCTGGCGTGATCCAACATTCTTTCTTCCATTTGACCGCAATAAAAAAGACTTTCTGAAAACTAAGTTAGTTATAATTGTTTCTACTTGTCAATTTGTGCTTGGGATAATTGTGTATATATTCAGTCGCACGGTATCTACTTGGACTTATGTCTAAAAATAATTCGAAATGCTAAGCTATTTGGCATTTGAAGAGATCTAATTCAAAACTGTTGTTTCCTTAAATTGAGTATTATGAAATTGATGTTTTTTGGCAAAATTTTGCTCTAAATCCAGTAGTAAGCAATGGCTAAATTAGAAAAATACCAGCAGTAAATAAAATAAAAACGGTACATTCAATACAGATTATGATGAAAAGCAAACTTTTGAATCAATGGAGTTCTAAAAGAACAGTTTTAGGTTCGTATTCATCCTTTTTAGTTGAATGTCTAAAATATTCGTATCTCACAGATTTTCTCTTTAAGATAATTAACCAGAATACGATTTTACTATTAAAATTAGTTTTGTACTCATAAATTAGAGAATTTTTCGAGTTTAAATAGCAAAGTCCTATTTTCAATACATAACACCTCATCTTCAATCAAATATTATATGAAATCAGTTTAAATGAATATCATACTTCATCATTCTTCCTGATCTTGTTATGCTTCTCTATATTTAAGTGAACATTATAAAAGATACTTATTATAAAATCGGTTTGGTGTAACTCGTATATGACTGAATTAGTTTTATTTTCTATGAAATGAATTCTTCATGATATTTAAGTATTCATTATGTTATTAATTCAGAATCAGCATGTAAATGAAGAATAAGAGAAACGGAAACCAAAAGTATGCTGAAATATTTTTGATGAATGTCCATTAACATTTGATGAAACATATGATCTTACTAAAACAAATCATTCTATTGAGTTTTTTCGAGTATGAAACAACTCGTCAAATTGAATTTTATCTTCATTTCATTTACAAGCATCAATTAAAAAAACGTTTATGCTCAACATTTGGTACGAGCTGTTGCCGATAATCAAAACCCTAGCGTAACAAAACCAGAACATAGTCGACAAAATATCTTCGGCTCTGGAAAAAAGTGGCCATTTTTCTAATTTTTGTCTGAGCCACTATAGATTTTTAAAATTTTCTATTCAAATCGTGGTGCAAAAACTATTTTTAAAGATATTACATATTTGTAAACAACTTTGCAAGCTTTATATAAGCATGGATGATTCAATGAAATATAACTTTTGCAGCATTTTTTTTGCAATATCGAATCCCTTCGTTGCACTTAATCAGTCAATAAATTCACACATGTAAGAATGAAAATCGAAATTGTCAAGAAAAATAAATCAGTAGCAGTCAAATGTTCTCACATACTATTCATTGTTTCAATTTCATAATAATAAAATCATTAATAATAATAAGAAGAAAAGAATAAGGATCGTATGTTGAAAACCAAAATACCAATGATGATATTTAATACCAGCAGCTTTAGCACGTCGTTCTTCATGCAAACCTTTAAATCGTTCTGGTCGATAAATACCAAAATATTCTGATATCCAATTATGTGTTCTTTCCAATCTTAGACCCATATCTTTGAGATAAATTTCAATGGGTGATAACCAATAATACATAAGATAACATCCAGTTCGATTGAATGTTTTATGTATAAATGTACATGTCTCATCGATTTCTTTATACATTTCCGCTTCAGAGACAGGTAATTTAAGCCGTCCTAAAAAATATTCTGATACCCAATGACTGGTTACTTCAGCCACCAACCATTGTGTTAGACATACTACATAGCCCACAAAGGCCACATTAGGTACTCCAACAGGTATGACATGCCGATATAAATAAAGATCAGTTTCAATATTTGATTTTTCGAGGTTTGTGTCGTTGGTAGACCCAATATTTTTGCATCCATATCGGAAAAGAACGGAAAACGAGTAATAAAACCGGTTGCACATATGATCATATCCGCTTGTAAATGTTCACCTGATTTGAGTCGTATTGTTGTTGAATCAATAATTTCATCGATAGAATCCAATTTTGCTATAATACGACCTTGTTGTCTAAGTCGAATAAAATCTTGTGGTATCATGTAAATATTTTCAGCATTACGAAATGAATTATTCGGTAGAAATACTTTATCGTCATATAAATCTGGTCCATTAATAGCCATTATATCAGCGGTAATTTTATCAGTGATGAATGTAAATAATCGTGGAAATGTACGATGAAAATATCGAAATAGTTTCGAATGAGGTGCACCAGGAAATGGTCCATAAGCAGCGTAAGCAAGACGTGTAAGGAGATATCGTGCAGGCAATAAGCCACCTGCGATTGTGCGTGGTAACATCCAATGAGCACGTCGTAAAACAATGTGACAACTACGAGTATACGAACCACAAATTGAAGCCAGATCTGTTGCACATTTGCCACCACCAATGATCACAACACGTTTGTCAATAAGTTGTTCGTGCGATTTTATATTATAACCATGAATAATTCTTCCTTCAAATTTTTCTTGACCACGTATATATGGCATGTATACTTCATTAAAAAGACTAGTAGCTATGACAAGAAAATCAAATTCATACATTTCATATTGACCATCAAATTTTTCAACTTTGATTTGCCATGGAATATTTCCATCTTTTAAATTTTTCTTATTTATTTCAATGACACGTGTTCGAAATTTAATACGTTCGGTAAGATGACAATGATCTGCATATCTTTTCAAATAATCATGAATATGTTGCCAAGAAGCAAATTCTGAAATAAAATCTCTATAGAGATTAGAATAAATATACTTGATCTTTACCTTCGCCATCAAATAGATCAGAAAATTCTATTGTACCTCCAAATTGTTGACTATGTAAATCAACGTAAGCACAATCTTCACACCAAATACCGCCAATATGTCGTCCTCGTTCGAAAATAGTCACATCGAAACCATCTTTCAAAAGTACGTTGGCTGCTACTAAACCGCTTGAACCTGCTCCAATGATGGCTACCGATTTTGATTCCATCGAACACAAATTATCTTGTTCAAAAAACAAAAACAAACAACGAAATTCTTCAATAATCAATTTAAGGTCAAATGTTATCTACAACAAATAATTTTCTTTTATTTTGCATTATATGTGTACGAAGAAAGGCGTAATCAATCATAACAATGTACAAATCTATAGAATGATCATAAAAAAAAATAAATAAAAAGTCAATCCACAGGTTTGTTTTCTAGTCTACGACTTTTTATTCTTGTTTTAAATTTAGCAGATAAGTTAGAAGAAGTAGTTGTTCATGTATTTTTGGTATACAATTGAAATATGTGTTCATATAATTCAGTCGTCGATAAATTAATTATCAAAAGATTTGAACACATACGAAATGATCCATGCTTGAAGTCATTGTAAGAATGTGGATGGGGGTATTCGTGGCTGAGAAGAATATCCACAGCTACACCCACTCGAGGAAGAAATATTCATTAACATTTCCATAAGTCTCTAGATAAATGTGTATTCGAATTTGTGTTAATAAACTGTGTTGAAACAATGATATTTCATGTATTACAATCAACAATGAAGAAGTCAAGTTCAAACTGAAACATCTATGAATAATTTTCCATGAAAGCTGTTCTTTTGTAGAAACTTATCCATAATTTCATGAATCCTACCTTAATTTCTTCATCGACAGTTATATTATCTGAAATGCCATTTTTTAAATATAGTTCATCAACAAGGATTCGAAGACAATATGTATCTAGAGACTAATAGAAGTTTTAACGAAAACTTCTTTCCCAATCTGACATTTGACTCTAACATAAATATATACATTTTAAGCAGACATATCATATTCATCTTCTGCATATTTAATAGATGAGCAATGTTGGGATAAAAACGTATCTTAAACAAGAAAAGGTTTATAAGTAAATATTTATCGATATTTCAGTGTTTCATACACAGATGTATATCTAAAGTAGTAGTAGCAAAATTAAGAAAAAGAAAAATCTTACTTGTACTTCAACTTGAGCGTGCTGTTCGGAGTGTGAATGTGCGGTTTCGGATATTGTTGAAGGAAACATCCAAACCCATATTCACACCCTAGTAGTTAGTTTTTAAGAAGCACTAGATCTTTTAAATAGTTAATCCGTTCTCTATTTCAATTTATTAATGATAAGGGATAAACCATATTTCTCTGTGATAATACATTATGTTTTCTCAACAGATACAATAAAACCTTACTTAGTAGACATTTCCATATAGTGGACACTTTGTTGTATTGCAGAGCCTTCTTTGCTTAAATTGAATGTCTTCATAGTGGATTTTAATTAGGAGTTTAGAAAGAATGCTACAACTTGGTGATCAGCAATTAATTGCTGATAATTTTGTCGATATCGATTTATCCATTTCTGTTTTCAACAATCTAACATCTCAGACTGCAATTCACTGATATTCTATCTGCATTTGAAAGTGATAAAAGCAGATAAGTGTCAAAGATTACTTTAAAACTGTTGATTTTCAAAGATAAAAATCTATGGAATGAAAACTAACAAGTTACTTCAGTCAATTATTTTATTCGATGTCTAGAAAACGTGTGTATTTCTTCGAAAATATTTAGCCTCTATATAGTGAACACTTTCAATAAGTTCAAGAGTATCTATTCAAGAGAGATTTTACAACATTGATTTTTATTTGAAAGAAATCCTAGATGATGAAATGCATTCGAAATAAAACATACACAATTGTTAAAAAAGATGTTAGCGTAATCTCTACGAGCTTACAATGTGAAATACAATGTACTTACTATTGCTAATCATAGGGTGATTATTTTATTTTATCTTTTTTTACGGCATATTTCTTCACCATCTTTTTACTTAATCCTCCACAAATACAATAAGTAGTTCCAGACTTGCCACCTTTTCTGCTTTTAGCAGAAAAATTCTGCTTTTCGAAGGTCTTTCTGCTTTTTTTCTGTCATTTCTGCTTTTTTAATCTTTTTCTGCTTTTTCTGAGTTTTTGTCTATTATATTTTTAACCGAAATTTTTGATATTATAATATATAATTTTTTTTTTCAGAAATGTCAAGGAAAATGTTTGTTAATATATGATGATGTTTTTATCTTTTCCTTATTCTATTATAAGCATAATTCTTGTTTTTTCATTGTGTTCCGATAATCGGACTCATCCGCCCTACCTCTCTTTATCGATCATTATTTCTTTATCATATTCTACCTCCCTTTTATTCGGCAGCACTCATATCTCTCCTTTTTGTGCCCTTGTATATAATGATGTCATCTCACTGTATAGCCATTCCCAGACTAGTCCATTCTTTTGTCAAAAGTGTACTATTCTTTTGTTAAATGCATATATTTCTCTCTCTTGTGACCGATATATATAAAGAATGAATATTGATTAAATAAAGTAGAGTGGAAAATAACATAACACAATATACGTTTGTTGTTACACGCTGGTTTTGAAAAACTGCCAATCTATATTCGTTTTCTGGTACGTTCTTTACCTATATATTTTTTCTAATATATTTTTCTGTTGGTCATCTACAATTCGTAAAGCCATTATCTACTACACTCTTCGAATGTTTATTTAGTGAAATTAATATTATTAGCTTTACGAAGCAGAAAAAATGAATGAAGATGATCATGATATTATTATTGATGAAGAAGAAGATCCTGATGTATTAGTACCAGCTGAAGCATTACGAATGCCACCAGAGGATAAATCAATGAAAAAATTGAAAAAAGGTGTTTTTAACAAAGAATGGTTAAATTTGATTGAATATCAACCATTTTTAAAAGAATATAAACCTGATCCATCTCAAGCCACATGCATCGTTTGTAATCAGCAATTTTCACTGTATTATCGTGGTAAAAGTGATATCGATAACCACATGAAAACGAAAAAGCACCAAAATAATATGAAATCTTTTGATGTTAATCGACAATTAATAACAAAAACAATAAAGCCATCAAAAGAAAAAGATGAAGTTGCAGCTGCTGAAGGTGTTTTGGTTTATCATGGAGTTAAACATGGACATTCATATTTAGCACAGCAATGCACGACCAATGTTTGTAAAGCAATATTTTCGTCCTCATCAATAGCAAATAATTTGTCATCTGCTCGAACTAAATCAACATGTATTGCTCTAAATGTATTAGCGCCATGTTTTACATATACTTTACTTGATGATTTAAAACAATCATATTATTATTCTTTAATGTATGATGCTAGTAACAAAGGAAATATGAAAGTATATCCGTTTTGTGTTCAATTTTTATCTACAACAGGTGTAAAAAAAGGTATATTTTTCAGCTAACTTAATTTATTCTTCATTTACATCTTTTTACCCTTTTAGGAATTATAGATTTAATAGATGATGCTGAAGAAACAGCACTTAAAATTTTTTCAAATGCACGTAAATTAATTATAGATAATGATTTGGATATTAATGGATTATCAGCACTCGGTGCTGATAATACGAATGTCAACGTTGGTGAAAATCATTCTGTTTTTTCTTTATTTAATGATGAATTTCCTGATCTCATCAAAGGTAAAATAAACGTAGTTAAAAGAATATGAGTTTTTGTTATTTTTCATCTTGGTTTTTCAAAATTTTGCAAGATTAATCATTAGCATCTGCGTAGATGTGACACGGAGTATAGTCCAAACTGAGTTCTAAAGAAATAACTCAATACTACAGAGATCTTATATTTTTTTTTCAAAAAGATGAACACCTTTTTTTTGAAAAGAGCGTCACATTTATTTTCATGTTTTATACCTATAGGAAATTGCTATTGTCATATACTTCACAATTCTGTTAAACATGCTCATTGTCTATTACCTATTGATGTCGAACAAATATTACTTACGATATATGCATATTTTTCTCGGTCTGCAAAACGTATTAATGAATTGAAGAAATACTATGAGTTCTACGAACAAGATTTCAAGGTAAAAATATTTTTCAATTATTGATTTTTCTCATTTACAAGTCTAATTTATAATATTCTGTTTTCTCTCATTGTAGGTGATCTTGAAGCATATTAAAATCAGATGGTTAAGCTTATATTTTTCCATAGAGCGTTTAGTACACGTATGGTTACCTATTAAAAAATATTTTCTTGAACAGCATGATAATTGTCCATTGGAATTAAAAAAGTTCTTCGAACTTGATGAAGCTACATGTATACTGAGTTTTTTGCAACACGTTTTGTTCGAACTTCATAAAAAAAATCTTGAATTACAACGTAATTACACAACAGCTGTTGATTTATTCAGAATCATCACATCCATTAAAATTAAATTACAAGAACGAATTGATTCAGAATTTTTTGGTGCTGCATGTCGATATAAATTAATGCGTTTACCAATTGATACACAAAATAGATTAAAATCATCATTTATTAAATTTTTAAGTGCAATTATTGCTTATATTGATTCTTATTTTGATAAAAATATTACTTTTTATCAAACAATTAGCTATTTTGGTCAAGAAAATATCGAAGGTTTAACATGGCATCAGGTTATTCAATGTGTTGAGATAATAAAATTAAAAAGTTTAGATGAAGATCGATTGTTCGATGAATTTACAAATGTAAAATCTGTACTTAAAACACTTTTAGATCAACCTGTTTCATTATTTGACCAAGTTCAAGCTTTCATAAGAAAACAAAACGATATATCAAAAATAAATAATTGTGTTGATGAAAAAGAAGATGATGATGATGATCACTTAACAACGAACAAAATAGTTAGATCTGATCAGTTATGGATGTTTTTATTTTCAATTACTCAATCGCCAAATTTTAAAAAACTCATATGTTTTTTGTATTCATTACCATGTAGTAATGCTTTCGTGGAATCTGTATTCTCACAAATGAAACATTTGTTAAATGACAGAAGAAAACGTATGACAAATGAATTGGTTTCAGCTGAATTAAAAATACGTTTCAACTCGACCTTATCATGTACTGAGATGTATAAATATATTTTATGCAATCAAGATTTGTTAA